ATATCACTGGATTTAAACACTTCTTTAATCTTCCAAGAACGTTCCTTCTTTAGCTCATATTCCAAGAATATTAAGAATACAATTATTGCAAAAGCAATTGAATTCATTGCACTACGGCTTGGTAGTTTACAACGAGTTAAAAAAACTTAAATTCGCTTTGTGTCTAACAATACAACAATATTTTAAATATTAGAAATAAATATTAAATTGGAGTTAATGGAGCCTCACCAGTTGCCTAGATTTGGAGATTGTTAAATCTAATTGTTTGTTGCGAAGTCTAACCCAGGCTGCATAGTGGTTTTTCTTAGTTTTCTAGGTTTCTTTACAAAAGTTCTGTATGAAAGCATTAATCAAATAGCTCTCATGTTCTTTCTATGTTCAAATAACCAACTAACCTAGTTTAAGCGCGATTTCTAAAGTGAAGTTCTAGCAACCCGAATATCATTAAAATCATGTAGCTTGCAATCAGGAGTAACATGAAAGATGCGGCGCCAATAATTGAATTGCTGCTACGGTACGCTGTTTTAAACTTAGATAGTCATTCTTAATAAATAGCCCACCAGCAGCCGAGCGGTAAAGACGCTGAACTGGTAGTTCGGTCCGAGGTTCGAATCCCGGAGCGGGCTGGCGGTATGGGTGTTTTCGTGGTTTTCCCATGTGTAAGTGTATCCGAGCCAGTTTCCCTTAGAAGTCCTCCACGAAGGAATCCCTCCTTTAGGCATATAACATCGTGTGTTTTGCGATAATTAAATAATCCATCCAATCCTTAATTAAATGTAATTGATTTGTAACTTCTACTAGAGCTGACGGTTAGAATTTTGAAGTGAAATAATAATATTGTGGTCAATATTTGCATTTATAAGAAGGATTAATAACCGTAATAATTACTATTATATTACTAATGATTAGGATCAGTTCTGACAATTGATTCTATTAGAATTTTAAGAATATAATGAAATACGCTACGACAAAAATTTAAGTAAAAAATGAGTTGATTTTTTATGTTTTAAAACTCTTGAATCATTTAATAAACATCGTAGCCTCGTTGTTAATTGAATCCAGAATGGTGGTGTCGTTTATATAATTATTCTACTTGTCCAAATCTGCTGACTTATCCAGCCATTAAGTGCTGCAGATCTTCTACACAACCACCCACTTCCCTTATTCAGTCTCTAGAGGGTTGTATGTTATATCATATTTGATTTTATAAAAATGATTATTCTAAATCTTTGTTTCTATAAAATCTACTGTGCTTTAAAATATGTATCAGCCGCTCTTTCGCACTTCAAAAGCAACAGTTTGTTTTTAGAAATAAATTATGCGTACTGTCATAAAATTCAATAAACATCAACAAAAATTCTCAGTTTTAGACAATTCGATTTAAAGAAGTAAAGTAAGAGCAGCACAGAAAACGCGAGGTAAAAATTTATCAACAAAAATTTACTCTAATTTTTTTTAAATATAAAGAATTAAAAAAATAGTAAAAATTTGAATAATATCATCAATTTAAAAAAATAGCTTTAAGTATAGTATTAATAAATATTTATTACGCATCATTGAGGGAAAAAAAATGTCATATATTATTCTCCTAAAATTTTACTTGAATTAATGGTTAAAAATAGCTGTGGCAATTCAGTGTAACGAAAATCCATAGACCACATTGGCGTTATTACGTTGAAAAAAAGATGCCAAATTTCAAACTCGAAAATATGTAAATCGTATCTTAGAAAATTTTGAATAAAAGCCTAATTTTTTTGCAGTTATGCTTAAAAATACACCTACTTTAAGATGATGTAAAATTGTATAGATTATAATTCAAAATTTTTTTCGAAAAATTATAAAAATTATTTTAAAAATAGAAATTTTAAAAAATAAAACACAAAAAAATGGGTGAATTTATTTGGAATGAACCTAAATTTCGAAATGTGAGAGAAAAAATCAAAAAAGTTTTAATAAAAAAGAGATATTAATAAATATTTGCCAAATTCAATTAACATTGAGGAGCTAAAATTTTGAGAGCTAATATTTTAAAAACTACTCGTACGATTTTTACAAACTTGTTTTCTGTTATAATTGAGTCGTAGAATCGAATATGGAAAAAAATTGGTATGTTATTTCGAAAAAGTCCAATTTTGTGTCGAAATACCTATGTTAGATTAGTGCTATATATAAATCTAATATATATCCTAAGTCGCGTTTTCGAGACATGAAAACGTAGGTTGAATTTTGTCAATCGGCGCAGTAGACGGGAGATATAGCACGTCCCATTTTTTTTTTAGCAGTGTACATGCGACCTATTTCACTAAAAACCATCCCAGATTGCACAAAAATGGCATTGTGGCACTCTTGACTTTATCCATGTACACTGCTAAAGTTCTAACTAGTAACCTTTTTCGCCTTACCAAAATGTCGCAAAACTACCTGTTACCATATTCCAAAGATTAGCCGGAATGGTCTAAGATTTTTCTGAATATTAATTTTAATTTTCCTATGAGTGTCAAATAAATCCATGAAATTTTCCCCTTATTTTTAAAATTTTTATTGTAACTGTAAAATTATTACATCATACTTAAAATAATTTTAAGACTACTTTCCATTATAATGTTCATGAGAAACAGAATACAAATAAATCGTATTCTAAAATCTAAAAGAGAACTTGAATTATTCTACTATGCTAGATTTCTGAAATACTAGAAAAGTTCATCTTTCAGAATTACATGAAGTTGTTGTCAATAAGTACTGATAAGCAGATCTCGAAAAGCCCTTGTCTAAAAAACATGCTACATAGGAAAATCTATGTGTGTGCATTACAAAATATTAAAATGTAACCCATTTAAATTTAAATCCTGATCTTGCATAATGACATCAAAGGAAATTGTATACATATTCTTTATGTAAATGAGTGGCTTGATGATAAATGGATCTGCCATATATAACTTGTATATTTATGTATTTCATATGAAATAATCTAAGTATATATTATTTGATATGATACTGCACACATATCACCAAATGTGTTTCTTATGTTTATTACAGTTCTTATGTTTCTTATGTTTATTACAGACATAATTTAATGGTTGATGATTTAATTTATTAATCATCATTTTAATATCCAGGAATTTTTCAGAAATGTATGAAGTAAAATTATTAATGCGAAATTAAACTCAGTGATTCAAAATATGTTTACATATTAATTTCTACATCTAGATTTCTTGCAGATCCCTTATAATTTTTCATGGAACATTTGTTTGTGATCATTCCTGCTATAGAAGTGCAATGAGTTGCCGCCTTTTCGTGGCCTGTAAATAATTAGAAAATACCCGTCTGATTTTACCTGATTACCTGTCTGATTGATTTAGTGTACATTAATCACTTGAATGGAATGGGAAAATTTTGTGGGATTGTTTAGTAAAAATATGGGAGGAATTAAAATTAATAAATATAAATAATATTACCTACCAGCAGTCTGTGGAATGTATTACATTATATTTTACTATATTATACTATATACCCATTATAATCCTGATTCCCTTCTCACTCTTCCCCAGTGTCCTTAACACTGGAATTAACCCAGTCTAGTATAAATAGTCTATAATTTATAAAGTGGGATAAAACAGCTTCTAGAGTACTGAGAAAGATGCATTTCAATGCAGATGGATTACTATGTGTACAATAAAAGCTTAGGAAATGCAGAATCCTGATGTGTGAAAATTCTGGGTAGCTGAGGATATAAGAAATGCAAATTAGAGTAGAAAAGCCTTGAATGGATGGGAAAAAAATGTCTAATATTATAAAAATAGACTTTATTTTTTTTATTAGTTTGAATATATATGTCCACATTTAAATTAAATGAGATTTCAGTAGAGATGGCTTAAGTAGAATTATGAAACATTTTATGGGATATTAGATTAGTATGCATTTACACTAACATGGAAATGTTATATATCTTCTGTTTATTTAAAAAGAAAAAAGAAAAAAAAAAAAAGTGTAATGTGGGTTCTATGACAATATTTAATGTTTTTAATTAGATGCATAAACTAAAACCATTTTCGGAACTACTCTGATATGCGCCCTAAAGTCGCCAAATTTCTCGCCAAACATTTTTGGCAAGAAACTCCACGTTGGCATATTGCTATCTAAATTTTTTGTCTACATTTCGAACTTTAAGCCTAAAACGTCTCCAAAAACACGATTTTTTGCGAATGCAAAAACCACGTTTTGAACACACAATTTAAGCTAAAAATCCGAAACAAAAACAAAAAATTTAGATAGCATAACCGTAAAGTTTCTAACCAAAATATTTGATAAGAGTATTTAATAACCCTATTTGATAAGAGTCCATGTACACAGCGATATTTTTTAACTTAAAAAAAATCTATAAATGGCACAGTCTAGGCAACGAACGAATCTACGCCTCGCTTTAATAAATTAACATACACCTCGCTTTAATAAATTAACATAACAACAATAAATTTCAAAGAATACCATGTACGCAGCATCCTGTTTAAACTTAAAAAAACATCTACGAATTGCACAATTAGGCAACAAACGAATCTCGCCACTTCATTTTAATAAATTAACATAACAATAAATTGCAAGAAACATGTACAGTTCTGTTCAACTTTAAAAAACATCTACGAATGCACAATTTAGACGGTAAGCACTAATCAACAAAATATCTAAATAAATTTCAAAAAAAAAAAAACAATAACGAAGAAATTCATACTAAAAACATGAATACAACTTCTACAAAATAAGAACAGAATAAAAATAAAATGCACTTACCATGAATCAATGCTTTTCACAGCAGAAATACCAATTTCATACCGCCTTAACATGCCGCCACGTAATCACGTCGTATTTAATGGCAGCCAGACACACTATCCAGAAAATTCATACTATGGTTCACAAAAAAATAAAATAACAAATAATCACAAATCCCTACTTCTCATCAAGCCACTAAAAATAATCTCCCAGACCCTTTCCACACCTCAAATACCCTTGCCCCTCAACAGATGGCCACGACGATATTCCTTTTGCCGAACTTCTTTCAACAACTCACCTTTAGCTTCTCAGACCAGAGCATGACGCGAAACAACGAACTCCAGCGAAGATTTTTCATCGTCACAGGGTTGCCATACAACACGCAATCGGCCAAAACCAGCACAGAACACATATCGCCACATTTGGTGAAATTAGGGCATATATCAGTTATACCCCATTTTCTTTAAATCAGTTGGATTAAAAATTAAAAAATAATATTTTTAAGATATGCATCTATTTTTAAATAGTTTAGTTTGTTTATTAATAACAGATATATTCAATGTGATAGAATATCTTACGTTTTTCTGAACCTGACCAGCAATAGACTCGATTGGAAACGATGCAAAATCATGTTTTGAGACCAATAGCCCTTTCGGGTTAATAATTATTTATTATTTAAAAACATTATGGCGAATTATTATAAGTACTGTATTAGAATTCATTGTAATTATAATATAATGATAAAAATTGTACAATAAAATATAATTAAATAATTAATAAAATATAATGAAATAATTATAGTAACACTTACTGTACAGTAAGAGTTATTTATTATCCTCTGTCATAAAATTATATATATATATAAAGCAAAATTAAGTTTTGAAAACACTCATGTTTTTACCAATATAAAAATAAATACACAAATATGCAAAATTTATGAAACAGTTAATTACATATAATGATCAGTGTACTTATCTTTGATTACTTTAAAGTAATTTCTTTCTAAATCTATGCTCTTTGAATTCAGCGAAGATAAACAGGGAAAACATAAGAACAGAAAATATCCCTACTACATGATTCATATTCATCCCCTCTCCCATTTCGTGAATAAACCTTTTTGAATAGCATGTGCATGTTTATGCTTACACTCGCAACTGCTATGGTTATACTATAGTTAGATAACCCAGTTACACAAGTTATGGACATATATAAAAAACTTAAATTGCTTATCATTATTTTTCATGTTGTGTTTATCCATTTTCACATAAGTTGCACATTTCTTAATGCCAGGACTAGCATTTCTTTTTCACAGAAATAGCATGCATGTTTTGAAAACTGCATGCTATTCCTGTGAAAGCAAGTCCCAAATTTTAATAATTTTTTCCTAAATATGATTAAAAAACAGATAAATAGCAGTTCACTTATATTGTTTTTTACATAAAGCCAAGACGAAGATCTTATGACTGGGTTGTGATGTAATGCTTATCCATTCTTGGAACAAAATCATACTACTTGGAGACATATTTGTTTGATTCAAGTCATGATCCTGTTTGTTCTTCATGATGGAGTTAATCTCTTAATTGATTAATTTCTTGTTTAAAAAAAGAATAAAAAATATTCCAGTTACTTGAGTTTTCTGATTAGTTGAATGCCAGATAGTCAGACTTTTTCTGTACTTAACCATTCTAGTTTTTCAGTGGTATTAATTATATGTATCATATATGACTGTTCTAAAACTAACCCGAAGGCAGAATTTATACATGATTACTTACAAAGAGTGCTGCTTTGGCGTTCTGAAAAATTAAAAAGCAAATTGTGGTAGATCTTCTAATTGTAATTTTGGTTTTAGTATTGTGCTGGAATTCTGCTTTATCATTTTTTTATATATTTTGTTCCAGTTATGTCTCTTGCTTTTAGCAGTAATGATGCTGAAGCAATTAGCCGTAAAATTCCCATTAATGAATCTGGAAAAAGAGATCATACTTTCTCTCTGGATGATGTTTATGAAATACCTAGATGTGTAGACTGGATCAAGAGTAATTGCTTCTCTAAAGTAAGTTGATTTTTAAGATTATGCTATCAAAATTAATAATATGTATTCTAGTTCAATAATTTCGAAAGCAAAAATTTTACTTTTTCATGTCAGCAAATGAAAGGTGATAGTGCATGTTAAATTTTTAACAATAAAATGGTTGGTTACTCTGATGTCATAATGTGTGAGGAATTATATCAAAAACAAAAACTGTTTAGCTATAAAAATTTCTAGTTTCTTATTATAAAATCGTATTTATCAGAAATTTAATATAATGTATATATTTTCTTCATGTACGAGGCATATTCGGAAACTAAGTACCATTTTGAAAAAAAAAAAAAAAATAGTAAAACAATTTTTTCGAATCCAATTTTATTTTTACAAAAATACATGTCTTAAACTATTTTCAAATAGTTTCCGCCAATGATCAAAACTTGTCATAGCGGTGACCAGTTTTTGTTACCATTGTCAAAGAAACTTCCGCCAGTTCAATAACCACAACTCCACAGCATTTTTCATTCATCGTCAGATCCAAAGCGCTTGCACCACTGCGCTTCATTGCAGGAACCAACTGATAGTCGGACGCGCCTAGTCCGGTCTGTACTGCTGGTGATCGAACTGTTCCCAATGAAACTGTCGAATTAACGATTGAGTGACACCAGAAGTATGGGGTCGAGCTTGTCAGAGGCAAACAATTCCTTACTGAGCATTCCTCTTCGTTGTTTTGAATGGCACGCCTTATTTTGTTAAAAGTCTCACATATCATGCCGCATTAATGGTTTCACTCTCTGGGAAGAAAATTCAGTAAGCAAAATGCCTTTCCTATCAAGACAGTGCACATGATTTTTTGTGATGCATTGTCACTTTGAACTTTTTTTTTTCGGAGAATGAGTGTGTCTCCACTCCATCGATTGTTGTTTCGATTCTGTGTGAAATGACACCCCAAGTTTCATCACCTGTCACAATTTGGTTAAAAAGTTTCTCCCTCATCACTGTACCGCGTGAGAAATGTCAGGGCACTACCAAGTCCCTTTGTTTGTGAACATCAGTGAGCATTTTTGGAACCCATCGGGAACACAGTTTGTGATAATTCAAGTGGTCAGACACAATTTCGAACAAAATAGTATGTGAAATTTGTGGAAATGCCTCTGAAAGAGTTGTCATTGTGAGGCGTCTGTTCTCGTGAATTGCTTCATCAACATTCCTTACCAAATCATCGGTGACAACAGAAGGCCGACCACTCCGAGCTTCAGCGTGGACATTTGTTCGGCCTGCATTAAACATTCTTACCCACTTTCGCACCATTCCATCACTTATCGCATATTCACTATAAACTTCTGTCACTTGACGATAAATTTTGGCCGGTAGAAAATTCCTCGCCTTCAAAAATTTAAATAACGGCATGAATCTCACAGTCAACAGGAGAACTAATTGTCTTAAACATTTTGAATGTGCACAGCAAACTGAAAACACAACGTAGAGCAACCAAAATGGCGACATTTGAAAGTCAGTGAACAAGAAAGACTAGTGCGCATGCGCGGGACGCCTACCACAGCGCTGTGACGGCGCTAGAATGAAACGGTACTTAGTTTCCGAATACGCTACGTTATTTCTCACATTCAAATATTTATCTTTTCTATCCACAGACTTTGCGATTTCCTCATGTTAAGGCTGTTTAATCACTAATTGACTTCTATACTAGTCTTCAACCCGAGATGAGAACACTAGATATGCTAGAAAGCATGCTATTCTACCGAAGACTATAATTCTATCATTTCTAGCAGCTATATTTAGAAATTAAACTATGAAATATGAATATTATTGAGATAAGGGATCAGAAAAGAGAGCTTAAAGGAAAGAACATTTCACCCCTAAATTTTGATTAAAAATGTAACAGTATACATATAAATCATTTAATGACCAATAGGAATAGATCCTGTTTTTGACACATTTGGTGAAACTGCATATTACCTGTAACTTAACCATACTCTGTCTCTTTTGGAGACAAGCAACAAAATAATCAATTACTCCTGACTTGAAGAAATTAAAGTAATTGTTGTGGAGTATTTTGCTCAATAAGGAATTGCTGACAGCCAAATTACATGAAGAGTAAGAAGTGTCTCTCTACCTTATGTTCCACATGTACATTTAATTTGTAGGTTCTACTTAAAGTGTAATTATGAATGTTCTTGTTAAGCTATTTATGTATTAAACATGATAGAGAGGGATCCAAATAATGAAAATGTTAAATTAATATGTAACATAAGTATTAGAAATAAAAAATCTATTTTATCCTTTAGAAATATATTTCTAATGCTACCTTTTTGATGGCGTTGTTCCGTTTTAAATAGCATGTTCTATGAGTATTAGCACTTTACTGAAATTAATTATCCAGTGTTTCTTTTGCTATTATTTATACCTTTTCTTATCAAAAATGAGCTCTGATTTATCTTCAGAACCATCTACATATGTGACTTTTAATTGCAAAATCAAATTTCTTGATTTATTCTTCTTTTGTTCTGATGATTTTATATCTTTAATTTTGCATTCATAATGACTACAGCCTGGATTTAAAGTGATAACTTTAAATAAAATAGTTAAATAAAGCTATGAAATAAAGTAGATAAACTAGTCAACCTTAATTTTGTTAGAGGACAGGAGTAAATAAAGAAAATGATATCACCTTCTGTATTCTTTATATTAAACCAAAAATTTTCATCTTTTAATAACATTTAATTAATAGCATTTTCTAATTACAATTTTTCTTTATTTGTTTGTTGCAGGAATTTAGAGTAACCATATGCTTATTAAAAGAAACATTTATGATTACATATTAATTTAGATATTTTTAATTATAGTATTTACTTTTTTTCTGTTCCAGATTGCTTTACAGTTTCCTGATTATTTATTGGAGGATGCTACTAATGTGGCTATAGAACTTGAAAATAGTACTCATAAAGAAATAGATATTCTTGGAGATACTACATATGGAAGGTAATTAAATTTAATTTTCTATTAAAGTCTGTTGTTGTGACTTACTTCACTTGTCTGATAGTGACATGTCTTTCCTGACAGTACTACCACCCAGAAGGTGCCCAAGGCACCTATAAAGTTACCACCATATTTATGATAATCAGGCACCACCGAATTTGCCCAGTTCCATCCCAATTTTGAGAGAGCAGCACGAATCTGTCTTTTTTATTCCTCTTCTGACAGTTTCTCGAGTAGATTCATACTGAAAATTACATTCTACAGTTTTATATTTCTTATGTAAATATTTAAAATTATCAATTAAAAGGATAAAAGTATTTGACAATTTTCAATCAAGATAATGGAAACAAATATCATTATTAAACATAAAATTTTAATTAATGTGTCTTTCAGTTTTCTAAAAGGTTTTATATTAGTTTTTTAATGAATCATTAATTTAAATGAAATGTTTTTATAGGCAAAAGTAAGTTCACCACATTTCATTATATTGAGCACCACCGAATTTATTCCACTGAATTATATTTTTCTATTTTAATGTGAGAAAAAAAGGAAGGTTCTTAAAATAGAGATATTTATTTCATATGTAAACAGATTTTTCATTCATCTCACTAAATTCTTTTATTTTATAGCTGTTGTGTAGATGAAATTGCTGCTCTGCGTGGATCAGCTGATGCTATCATACATTATGGACGTGCATGCCTTAGCCCAACCAGTCGTTTACCAGTATTATATGTATTTGGAAAGCATTTCATTGATATTCAAGATGCAACAAATGCTTTTAGAAGTCTGCTTACAGATGTGAATAGTTTAATTATAATTTTGTACGAAGTGACATATTCATATGCTGTGGGTAAGTTTCATATACCTCAGACTAGTAAACATTAAAAAAAAAATATGTTACAATAAGTAGCTGATTTAAGGTGATAAGTTAGCTTAGAAAATGCATGACATTATCTAATTTTTGGTATTTGTTTACTAATTGGTACCTGAAGATACTTTGCTATCAGTACAATCCATAGCAGCTTCCAGAGTTGCTCACGGAAGAATTAAGTCTTTGGTGAGCTTCTAGGATTACTGCAATATTTGAAGGAAAATAGAGATGGTATTATTGATGTAGAGTAAGGTAGGAGCTAATTCATAAATATCTGAATTTTTTTTAAATCACGTTCACTTTTTAATAGCTATTATGTCTACCAGATGGCAAAAGATGCCTCAGAATTCTGAATACATAACTCTTCTTTTGAACTTGCTCAAAAGTCAGCATTTTGCTGACCTATTTACAACACATTACTTCTACCCTGAAAGAAAGGTAAACGTTAGGCTTCCTGACATGAGTGACTAGATCTTGACACGTGAAATCCTGTAACTTTTTATCGAGAAGCTATGCATATACAGAGATTGCCACATGTTATAAATGCTCAAATTTTGCAGACAAATGGTAAATATGCTGTTTATTTTTCTTAATAGTTCAATATAAAGGATATTTGTCATTCTGTTATTTTACTGTTTATTTTAATTATTTGTTTGTATACTTTGATCATTTTCTTGTAAATTTGTAAATGAGAGAGAATCTGTATTTTGAATACCTTTAAAATCTATTGTACTTAGCACTTTTGTTTTAATTTATTTGTCTCTCTATATATATATGTACATATAAAGCCATAAAGTAAGAAATTTAGAACTAATTTTTCACAAGGACCAAAAATTGAAATTCATAAGTAACAAATCCCAACAGGATACTTTGTTTCTTTCATGAAACCAAAAGTTTGACTTTCTGCATATTAAATTCATTATATACAAAATTTTCTAAAACTGTTAAATAATATATAATGTAATAAAAATGATGCTTTGTACAAGATATAAGTTTACATACAATTTATTTCCTTATAATTTTGTAGAGTTAGGGGAAGAAGTGTGGTCAATATTTCCTTTGAACTTCCCTTATCAGGCTTATTCAGATATTATAATAAAGTTACAAAGCAAATACTATAATAAAGTTATTAAATATTATAATAAAGTTATATTGCACATGCGCACATGTTACGGGGCCCCTTCTTTTGAGCTATGGGGACATTCGTGTCCAGGTGGGCTGAAGGGAGCTTACAATTCTTATATGCACACATGTGTGTATTTACAATCGAGAGATGATAAACTCAATAATTGTTGCAAACTAGCTAACAGGAAAACATAATTCAAGACCAAAACAAAATGACGTAATAAAATAACATAATAAATAAATAAATAATATGATATAGCAAAAGGGATAAAGCGTAAGTAGGGAGCCAACCTAATTTAACAGAAATAAAACCAAATATAAATAGTGGCATATTAATAAACTTAATTTACAGCAAGATGGTTTAAATTCAGCTAGAACACAAAATAAAACATGTTAACATCCATTATTTTCATTTTTATTTAATTATTTATTATTAATTGAATTTAATTAATTTGCTTTTTATTTATATTTTTTCATGAATTTGCTTTATATAAATAATGAGAATATTAATATCTTTTACATGGCATATAATGGGCTTTTGTCAGTGTGAACTTTTATCAGTATTTATTTTATCTGTGTGGTTTTTTATAAATGTATGCTTTCAAGTACCCTCACAGAAAGGAGTTCCTATATGCAAGAATGGGAGGAATGAGCTGATACTTTCTTGACGTGAGATCAGGCATCCTGAAAATATTTCATAGGCATGTTCATTAATGTGCTTGCTGTGTGTAATATAGCACTATCCTAATAGGAGCTTCGGAGAAATATCCTATTAGGAGCTTAAAATAGCGCTATCCTATTGGGAGCTTTGGAGAAATAGCTCCAGATAATTTCTATTAAAGTTTAAAATTTGGAGTTTCAACCTTAGCACTTTGATTTGTATGCAGTTAATTGTCTTAAATATGTAATCTAACCATATATAACTAACTAGTTATTTCTAGTAATTGAACTAATTATTCTAATAATCTAACTTATTTTTACTTCCTTGTACGAAGTAAAAAGGAAGTATTGTAATCGCGAATAGTTCCAGGCAGCATATTTCAACAAAAATATCCATTGTGACCGCTAACGAATGCAATTTAACGATGTTTTTGCGTGATATCTGTACATAAGGACAGAATAAAATACTCTTTTCCTTCAAAAATTATAAAACTGCTTTAAAATTAATTCTGAAGAGAATTTTTTTGTGGCGTCTGTACGAACGATTACGTATATCTCGCATCTCAAAACGAGTAGCTCAAACGTTAAATTTTTTATATAGGACTGCTGTAACATGTAGATGTGCACCTCGTATTTGGTTGCATCAGCTGCGCCAACTTATATAATATATTATATATATCCCTCTGTTACCTGCTCAGTGATCTCAGTTTTTTACTCTTAATGTTGTCAATTGTACATTTTGCTTTAAACGATTGTATTATGTTGTTTTATCTTCCAGTTAGGTTTTTATGCCTTAGTAATCTGTATGCATATTTTTGGATTATCAACAATTTTAAAGTTGTTAAGTGCCGCTAAGTTTTTTATGCAGCCATTGATGTTTACATTTGAAACCGAAGACTATGGATTTATTGCCAATCTAGAGAAACTTAGCTTCGCAACAACAAAGATAACGCATTCATTTAGTATTGCATTAAATCATGCTTAATTCTTCTGGAAATTTCAGGAAATAAGTTTTAAGATTTACTTTGTATTTTTAATATAGATATTTGAGTTTTATGTATTTTGCCTTCTTGCAGTGAGAATGAATATTAAATGAGAAATACTGAATTGTCTGTAAAAAACTGTTTTTTTTTTTTTTTTTTTTTTTTTTGCATTTCTTTTATACATCATTCTAGTATTGAATAGAACACGTGCAATGATTAGATAATTCTATTCTTTAAATGATATAAATTTTGTGCATTATGGTTATAATATGAACAAATTATAAGTTAACATTATATATTATTGGATTATATACAGTTAACTTAGTTTCCATTTATAATTATTATATAAGTAAGGTTATATAATTATTAATACTTTAAGTGAATCTAGTGCCAGAGTATCGCTATGGTAAACAAATACTAGAATGAATTTTTAAAGAATGCATTTATTTTTTTGGGGTTTATGCTCTGTCGGCAAAGTAGATTTAATTTAATCCAATAAGTTTAAATGACATGGAAGAAAAAATGCGCATAATTTAATATTCCGTACAAGGAAGTCATGTGGCGTACACATCAGATTTTTTTTTTCATTTAGGTTGCTATTGTAAATATGTATATATAACAAGATGATTTAGCCTCATTCTTTCCTTCTGTGAGATTAAATTCTGCCCATCATATATTGTTGCTTTGTTATTTACATATGAAATCTGGAAATGATTTCTGCCATACCTTGTATATTGTTATCTTTTATTTTATTTTTAATTTGCTGCTGTTCTTGTCCATATTACATAGAACGATGGTTGTCAGAACCTACTCCGAAGAGAGGTTGGACTTCTATTTTCCACCCCCCAGTTTTGAGGGAGTTTTGCGACCCCGAGAGGGATCCCACCCCACCCCTCTCCTCTCCCACCAATCCACACGAGAGGACTTTCGGCTCGCCGCATATTTAGAGTTTCACCATGCTGCACCGACACTATACATTTACAAACATCCATATCTTCTCCAGGATTTGAACCTGGGCCCTTTGGTGCTGTAGTAGGCTTCCCTAACCACTATACAATTTGGGCAACTATTTTTAATTTAATTCATTGTTTGAAATTAATGCTATTTGCATATCAGTACCTAAGGAAGTTGTTCATTGTTGCATAATATTTTGCTGTAGTATCTGGTCTTGTAATATGTTTTAATGTTTATTTAATGCCAAAAGTTTCAGAATTATTTTTTGGTTTTTAAAAGATGGTTCTAGAAGTAGATGTTCACCAAGTTATTTCTCACCTGCTTGAAATGTAAAAGCGAAATTGAGTAAGTCTTCATATTTAATGGGGCGTTAGAAAACAAGTGATACTCAAAAGTTAAATTACATTTATAGTTCTTAAAAGGTAAATCATTAAATAGCATGTTGGAACTAATAATAGTTAAATCCTCTTATTCAGATTTGCATTCTGATCTGTGTAAATATTACTCATCTATAAGTTTCATTACTTGGTTGAATTTGTTGAATTTGTAAGTTAGCCCTTACATATCTAAGAAATGAAATTTTTAGCCTCTGCAGAAGATTCCCCTACCCCTAAATATAGGATGTATCAAAATATTAATTACCTTTTTACTTCCTTGTACGAAGTAAAGGAAGTATTCTAATCTCGAAAAATTCTGGGTACCATATTTCAACAAAAATATCCATTTTGATCGCTATCGAATGCAATTTAAGGATGTTTTTGCTTGACATCTGTACGCAAGGACAGAATAAAGTACTCTTCCCCCCCCCCACAAACAGATTATAAATTTGATTTAAAATGGATTCGGAAGAGATATTTTCATGACATCTGTACGTATGTTGTATGTATGTATCTCACATAACTAAAAAATAACAGCTTTGGAATGTATATAGGACTGCTATAACATGCATTTGTGCACCTCCCTTTTTGGTTGCAATGGACCACATCAAAAGTATATATATATATATATGTATCCACTTAATTACTCAACTCCTGTTATCCTCTGGTTAAAGGATTTTATGCCTTTAGTTTATCTGCATGAATATAAGATAATTTATAGAATTATCAACAATTTAAAAGTTGTTTAAGTGCGGCTAAGCCTAATTTTTGTTTGCATTTAAAACTTAGCAAAATAGTGAATTCAGTTTCTGCATCTTCAGCGTCTTTTTGCCGAGTGGGACCAAAAGTAAACTTTCAGTTTCATGCACCGAAAAATCGTTCTTCCTGCGTGCTGCCTGACTTGCTTGTTTTTGTGTAGAAATTCTAATTTTAATTGTAAAAGTTATTTTTTAATTGTTTTAATTGTATTTGGTGTTTTATATTTTTTATTGAAGATATTTTTATGTTTTATGTATTTTTTCTGTATCGCAAAGTGAGATCAGAATTAATTGAATGAGAAATATATTTCTAATGAATTTTGAAGAAATAAGTTTAAATGAAATGCTGAAAAAAATGTGTATAATTTAATATTCCATACAAGAAAGTGGCATCTGCATCAGAATTTTTAATATAGTGCAAAAAAAGTTCAAAATACAGATGTATCAGTTATCTGAAATGATCTAAAATCCTGACTTCCAGACCACTAGCAACTTTTTTCCCCATATTTTTTCATAATAAAATATGTTGAGTGTTTCAGTTCTAATTTCACTTTGGAACTAAATGAAATATTCCATATTGAAGAAGCAATAATTTATTTTCATAAATGTATATGATCAATAATTCGGCTCCTTACCTGCCTTTTTGCTAGCATACATTTCAAAGTAAATCATTACACTGAAATGTCATTGATTTTACACCTGCTGAATAATTTCTACTCAACCATAATCAATCAATCCCTGATGCTTACATTTATTTATTTATTGCCTTTCATCACTGTGTGATTATCTACACATGTCAGCTTCATGCAGTGATGTCTATAGAATTTTTTTTTTTAATTGTGTAACAAATAGCATAAAATTTTCTCATTATGCTTGGCAATGATTAGACTTCAGCTAACTGCACTGCTAAACAATAAGTGTGTTGTGTTGTCCATTTCTTTTTACTTGCTTATATATTACAAAATCATTCTAAAATAAATGTGAGGTTTTCATAAAGTAATTTTATTATTAAAATATTGATATTTGTGTGAACACAAACTACATTTAATAAAAAAAGAAAAAAAAATGTGTTAATGAAAAGAAAGTTAAGAAAAATTTCTTTCCCGACGCAAAAAAAAAAAAAAAAAAAAAAAAAAAAAACCAAAAGGATGTATTTAATGCTGTTTGATTCAAAAATATTTGATTAATTACTTGGATAAATCCAGAACTGGTGTCAGCTCTAATACGGCCATACTGGGTGGCAGAATTTAGGGAGGGCAATTGTTTTTTAGTTTAGAGAATCCCTAAGCAGCAAAATTTTCAGAATTTAGGAAAGGTACTAGGACACAAATTTAGCGGCAGCAGAACTTAGGAAGAGAAAACTTCCTTTTTTTAGAACTTAGGAAGATGGTGCTTGGCTGCAAAATGTCTAGTGATGGCCCTGGATAAGCTTTAAGTAGATGTGGGAATTTATTTATTCAGTATTCAGATAAGACTTAAGCATGTGCAGGAAATAGGTGCAAGCATAATAAGTAAACTAATATAATTCAGGCTTAACTTCATCAGCATCTTATAAAAGCAAGACAGAATCTACTGGGACAACTTGTCTTTAGTCACCAGACTCTTGATACGTCACCAACAGTGCATAATGAACGCTTGCTAAGTTTTTTGATGATAGTTATAAATTTAAGTTTTCAGATATTGCAAACCAAAAATGAAGTTTTCCAATTAATGGAATTTGTGAAGAAATATGGAAAAGTAGTAATAAATAAAGATGATATAAGAGAAGTTTTTCATTGCAGTGACAATACCCCAATCATAAGTTAACTAATGGACATTGAAATCTGTGGTATGGTTCTAAATCCAGAAAATATCACTACTGATAGTAAAGAAAAGGAAAGAGAGATTGTTAAAAAAAAAAAAAAAAAATTCAATTGGCAATTTAGTAAGAATTATTGACATGCCAATTACAGGACTTGAACAGTGGAACTTCATAACTGAACTAGAAATTATGTCCATCTATAGAATTAAAGAGAAAATATTAGCACAAAAAATGAAGTAACTTAAACAACTTACGTTGAAAAAATTTTTAATAGGACAAACAAATAAATATTGAACTTTTTTTGTAAATTTTGTTTCCCTTAGGGTCATAAATGCTTCATTATTTCATAAACTACTTTTTCATATTTTTAATTTCATAATTTGTACATGTTGTCTTACGAGATTTAAATTAATGCTCTAATATCCAGGAAGATCCAGAATTACCAAGTTCTGATCTTGGACTTTATACTGTAGTGTATAAAAGTTTGCAGCAAAATAAATATTTTATTGTACTCTATATTATGAATATTCAGAAATAAATATTGTTTTATTAAATACTTTTTCTTTTTTAGGTAATCTTGTTGGAAATTTAATTGAATACAAGAATATTACGGTATCTGAATTGGACATCCCTGGAATTACATCAGAATCATCAAATGTGACAGAAATGAATAAGGACTTAATTCAGATTAAAAAGTGTGGAAGAAAGCTTTTCATCCCAAAGACGAAAAATTTAAATAATTTCAATATATTTTATATAGGGGAACAAAACGAAACTTTGACAAACTTCATGTTATCTTTCAACCACTGTACATTTTATTCTTACTATCCCTTAAAAAAACTATTTCAGGTTGAGACCTTAGATGTAAATAAGCATCTTAGAAGACGTTATTACTACATAGAAAAGACTAAGGATGCCAAAATAATTGGCATTCTTGTAGGAACATTGGCAGTCTCAAATTATATGAATATTATAGAGCAGTTAAAAGAACTAATTGAAAATTCTGGGAAAAAATCTTATACTTTAGTGATTGGAAAATTAAATTGTGCGAAATTAGCAAATTTTCCACAAATTGAAATCTTTGTGAATGTTGCTTGCCGAGAATCATCTCTAATAGAAAGTCGTGAATTATATCAACCAATAATAATACCTTATGAGTTAGAAATAGCTCTCAATAAAGCTCGGGCTTGGACTGGAAATTATATTACAGATTTTGGTGAACTACTTCCAGGTAAAGGAAATCTTTCTTTGATTTATAAAAAGTAATTGGAAGTGGTAAAGCTTTATGCCTTCACAAAGATAAATATTCTATTATAGTATACTATATATATATAATAGTATGATTTGGGAATAGCTGCAATGCATTGACAATGTTTTTACTTCATTATAATAACTTGAAAATTTGTTTCTGTATAGATAAATGGATGATACTTGAAGACAGATGTGGCCTTTCATTACATAATTTTATTCCTTGGTAACTAATTATTAGGACATATATTCTTTTCTATTACATATCGTCATTATAGATGCGCTATGCACCCCAAAATTTAATGCAGCTACATTTTGAGAACAATGGACAGTAGCTAGTAGCACGTGTAAGCAGCAGGATGGCAAAGTAGAAAAAAGAACTACTTATAAGTATCAGCGATATTTATAGTAAAAAGTTTCTTTAATCTTATTGCATGAGATGCCATCTGCATTGCAGCTTGATTGCCGCATCACAATGTGACAGATTAATTTGAAAAGTTGCACTCCAGAAAAGTTTTTAAAAGCAATATTATATATAATTTCTACTTTTAGAACAAAAAAGGGAGGTAGCCTTAAAATGGGGAATAAAAAGTTACTTTTGGGACATTAAACTTAATTTTCTTTCATATATGATATCTTATACACACACATATATATACTCCTGTTTGAGAAAATTGCAGCACCATGAAGGAATTATGCAAACTGAACCAGATTTATAGGAAATGTAGTGAGGTAAACTTGCAAATTATTAGAATTATAAAGTGTTTGTGCATGCATGGAATGACAACCAGCAGCTTGTTCCATGTATATAAAGGACTGTAAAGTTGCATTGAAATCTATTTATCATCCTCTTTCTGTGGTAAACATTTAATTAATGGTCAGTAGGCCTTGTCAGTAGTGGAGGGTGACATGCAACTAGTGGAGTTTGAATGAGGCCACATCATCAGTATGCAAAAAGGTGGACTTTCGTATTGAGCAATCGCAGCCTCCATGCAGCATAATGCCACAACAGTGATGTGTGTTAGGAAGAAATGGACAGAGGAGGATCAAACAAGGTGAAATCCTGGCAGTGGAGTATGCAGAGGCACAATGGCATGGGATGACAGATAACCCCATCCACATGGCTGTGATGGTTCATACGGTGTTTTGTTGTCTAACTCCCCGGTTTGTCCCCCGTCTGCTAGAGCATGAATTGCATGCGAGAGTTTCTCTGCAGGATATCCCTGTCGCTTAACCACAGATGCTTCCAGCTTCAATGTGCATAGCAGCACAGTGTGAGCCATGCCCTGCAGTAACAGGTTGTTTTCTGCAATGTATCTCACTACAGTTTGGAGTACAGTGATGGAAGAGTACGTGTTAGACATTACAGAACAGAACGTCTGCTCCTACAGTGTGCTACCCAGCGTCATACTATGCAAATGCCTGGCATCATGATGTGGTGAGCTATTTGGCATAATTGTCGATCCCATCTTCTGCAGATTGTAAGCAAACTAAACAGGGATCCTTACATAAGGGAAGTTGAGAAGCCAGAGGGTCCTTCCATTCTTCAACACATTCCGAGTACTGTATTTCAACAGGTCTGTACAAGCCTTCTTTAGGGCTCAGCAGTTTTGCTTCTTCTATGGCCTGCTTATCCCCCAGATATCTTGCCCACTGAACATGTCTGAGATGTCAACCATTGTCAACTTACTCGTACAGCTGGTGGGGCACACACTAAGACTGAACTTTGGCATCAAGTCAAAGCCATATGGAATGCCATTCCCCAGGATTACATTCAGAACCATATGATTTAATACCATGATGTGTACAGGCTTTCATCGCTCAATGTGGCAGACACGCAGAGTACTGATTTCTGACGTTCATTTTTTTTTTTTTTTTTTTTTTTTTTTTTTGTCTTGTAAATTTGATCATTTATTTGTACCACTATCAGTGATATGTGGTTTCATTTTCAACATTTCCTTTATGGTGCTGCATTTTTCATAAACATTAGTATATATATATTGTATAATTAATAAATTTTTGATAATTTACACAATTTAATAAATTTTAGTTAACACTAAATAATTTATTTAAACCTCTGACTGGCACTGCATTTCACTAAGAAAATCCAAATTTTCAAGTTGAGGTGAAAATTTTAACATCGGGTTCTAAGTGCATTTAGACCTGAAGGGATCTCGACTATAAAATATACCCATCGAAATTAGGGATCAGGATTTTTATACAGTCAAAAGTCTTTAATCCGGACCTCAAAGCTACAAACTTTCTGTGCATGCGTCAACGCATAATGCGTTCATGCATGCGCATAATACGTTTAATGTATAAGGGACGGTATAAACTAAGCTAAAATTATCTATTTCAGTTAATGTTGTAGATTGCGTTGTTCCTTAATCTTCTAATTGGATCTGGCTTATTATTTTTTGCAAACTGTTAAAGCAACTTTATAAAAGTAAGCTTGAACTTTCGATTATGTCAAAGCTACCAAAGGATCTACAAAGCGAAAGCATGTTCCGATGTCCATCAAGCAAAAAGTGGAATTGCTGCAAAAAATAGATAAAGGCATATCCTTTGATTCTCTAATCATTTCGAAATATGTTTATCAATTTCATGCTGCTCTGAGGGGGGGTTGACAGGGCACACAATGAACTGGAAGTTGATCTCTCAGCACTATCCTTCCTTATCTTCAGGGCAGATGTTTTTATTTCATTTGGCTTATAATTCCTTACTAAATGTAGTATTTCATCTCGATATAATCCGTCTTTGATATGATTTAAATCAAATTCCTCGTCATTATAAATATCACAAATACACATCAAAGAGTTTTCTGGTTGCAATTTTCTAATTTCGACTATGCGTAATGTATGCTTTACGCATGCGCGCGTTGAAAGAAATGTTTAATAAAGTAAACAAATAAATATTAAGCTTTTTTTTTTTGTAAATTTTGATACCCTTTAGATCATAATTGTTCTTTATTTCATAAATTACGGTTTCATATTTTTAATTTTATAATTTCTGCATGTCATCTTACCAGATTTAACTGATGATCTACGTATAATTCGGAATCGCCAAAGTCCCGACGAGTTCGGATTAAAGACTTTTGACTGTAGTAGTATAAATATGATGATACAGGAAGAAGTTGTGATCATTGGACATCTCCCCTTGTCATATGGTGATAATCTATGCTTTCCAGAGTTAATAAGTCATAAGATTAAATTTCTGAAAAGCTATTCAGTGGGCTATTCATGCTAATATAACTTTTTTGTTATGAATGATTATGCATATCTACATGTAGCGATTATGGTTGATGAATATACACGTATATTTAATCAAAAGGTCAAGTGAATGAACCAGCTAGATAGATCTCCTGATTTGAATGCCTATTTGAAGTCACTTTTCTAAAGATTTTAATACCATGAAAATGAACTTGGTAGAGGAAAGAATAACTCCATAAAACTCCCATCTTTCTCTCTATCACCTTATTTAGGGCATGAAATTGTAGTAGAACTCCAATCATCTAGACCAAATGTCAAAATTATTTAAATGTCCAGGTTATCTAAGTTTCTGAGTCAAATTGCAACAAATTTGTTGCCATTTTTTCCCCATCAGAACAGCAATTACAAATATGAAGGCAAGAGAAGCAAATTCCTACAGTTCTATCCTGTTGACTTTTTAAATACTTTTCATTTTATTCTTCATACTTCTTCTTTTTATTTAATCTTCTTTTATTTGTTAAAAATATATCACTAAGAATGGAAAAGGAGAAATTTAAATGAACATAAAAATGATAATGATCAGTTAACCCACATTTTAAAGACATAATTTATTGTTTTTCTTTCAGGCTGCAGCAATACTTCTAAATCTTATTTATACCTTTGTATTTTTCAAAAATGAACACAGTGTCCATCAAAAATATGTTAATGAGGGCCAAATAATCTCTCTATCTAGTGATGTTGAGTTTTCCATGGGCTTTTAGATATATCATTGTTATTTAGGGCCGAGAGGTAATGAGTTTTTACTTCATTAAAAATACAAGTGATACACCCATAGTTTTATTCATTTTTTATGCTTTTCACGATATTGTTGCGAAATCTCTAGTCATGGTAAGATAGCTTCCTCACAAAGATAGCTTCCACACTTTGGCATGAAATTTGCCCATTTGGCAACAAAATTGGCGATATGCCGTAGATGGATGGAGAACCTTCTGGTATGAATTCTTACCGGTTTGGCCCAGAATGTTCTCGAATGCAGCCCAAATGGTATATAAATCCTCCCTTGCACACAGAATAGCTGTCAATCACTTAGTGCGTAGTCCATTAAGTTGATCATCAGTCTAGTCAGCTGGCAATCATGATCACAATGCCTTCATCTATGAAAAGCATTTTGCATTTACTGTATATGCATTTTTATTTTATTAGTGCGTTTAACTCCCATCTGTATTTCTGCAATTTTTCTTATATTATTATTAATAAGTTAGTGCGATTTATAGTGCAATATCGAATGAAGGAAAAATGCAGGTTATGCATTTGTTACAAATGAAGCTAAATTTCGTTAAATGATTGCAGCAAGATGAAACAAGAAAATGGCTTGTAGTTTAGGCATTGGTAAAAGTGAGTGCAGAACATTGGAGGAAGAATAGGACAAGGTTATTGCAGTAATCTTCCTTGGTAGGAATAAGGGGCATTATATATCAAACAAACCTTCAGGTATATTTTAGAACAAATGGAGAATGATGAATCTCTTACTCTTATGGATGCTTGGAAGAAATTTACAATCTTAGACTGTGTTAAGCATGTTGGACTGTCATATACTCAGATTAAACAATCAACACTCAGTGCATGCTTAAAAGCAATATGGCCGGATGCTGCTAAAGATGAGAACGATAGATTACCATAAGAGCATGAATATTCTCAGATCACTAAATTGACCCAAACTATAGGAGGAGAAGGTTTTTGAGGATTTAGCTCAGGCAGATATTGGAGAAATAATGACTGACGAAGAACTAAATGAGGATGCGTTAGTTAACATGATTCATGAAACAAATAAACATTATGACAATGATTCTGATGAAAAGTAATCTGAACCAGTTGTGTTCACAGCAAGAGTCATCAGCATAGGACTTGAATTGGGAAGAAAATTAGGTAATCATTTTTTACAATATCACATGAATGTTGAACGAGCTCTCCAATTCCAAAGGGAACTTAGTAAGTGCTTAAATCTATACAAGGAGGTTTACAAAGATTTAGCAAAAACAATCTAGGCAGTTGTTAATCATGGATTTCACTACAAAGTCTTATCGCTCTGAGATCTTCCCTAATTCGTTAACCATTGAAGCAGAATCTGATCAGTAATGCTGAAGTGATGAAAGTGACATCATACCAATTAAGAACAAAAGCCTAATAGCTCATGCAAGTGATGACGATTAAACTTATAATAATTTTTTGAATGATCTTATATTTTCCTAATGTGAAATAAATTAAATATGTACTTCTATTACCTACATATATTTGTTATTTTATGAACAAAGTATAACTTTATTTAAAGATGTCTTACTTTTGTTTTATGTAAATCAATAACTACATTATGCACATTTAGTGTGTTTATCGTTTTACATAGCAAAATCCAAGATTTCGTTTTACATGGTTTTGTGCGGAACCTATCTTCTGTGTAAATTGAGGAATAGGTGTAGTTATAATATATTTTTGAGAAATCGGCTGGTTGAATTTAGTTTGTGACATGAAACACAGTAATTATAAGACATTTTTGTAAAGTTTGGTATTAGAGAATAGTTTGTTTATAACAATATGATATGGAAAAGATGAGTATTGAAGCATTTGAAATCATCATAATCTCTGAAGTAATATTACATCTGAAGATTTTCAGTTTGTATAAAAGTGTGCTGCACTAAGAGTTTGTACTATTTATTGCTAAAATGTTAATAATTATAGGGATACTTTCTGATTATCCACAGAAAAATATTAATGAGGGTATGCACCATATCGCCAAAAAGTACTTATGTGTCATTCCAGGTATGTATGTAGCATCTCTCTAGACAGCTTTCTACTTCTCTAGGCATTTTCATCAATGTGACTGCAAAATATGGCCTTCCTATAGAAATTTCAGCATTTACTATAGTAGTGGATAGTATATTGCAGCTTTCATCGTTTTCAGTGAAATCTCTGTTTTCCGCATATATAGAATGTTACATGGCTTGCTAAATGACATCATGCACTCTTTTTCCATCTCATTTTAGGATGTTGGTGCCAAGTTTGTGTAATTTTCTTATGCTTTGTAGTGAGAACAGCACAAAAAGCTGAGATAACAGTAACAGTGCTCCAAAAAATGAGAAGTGTTTGTTTGTTGTATGGAAACAGAAGAATGTAAAAAATTAGGGAGCACTGGATGCATCGTTTAAATAGACATTAAGATATTCAGCAAACGTACTTCTGTTTGAAGTCAATGAGTTCACAACTTTTCAGTTGAGTGTAGATAATCAGAAAGTACTGCTATTAATGTTGTTCACAGTTGATAGTGGAAATTAAGAAATACTCTGCTTTACTGAATGAGATTAGCATTTTGTGTCAACAAGACTGTCTCATTTCTTGCCATATACTGAATATTGAATTGTTTTGATCAGATATCTTACATGTATGGCATACTTTCTAGAAATTGCTCCTGAGATTATTATTGGATTTCAGATTCTTTATTTATTTATTTATTTTTTAAAGGTGAGATTTAATTCCTTGGTCCCAAAAAAAAAATATGTTTGAGTTGACGCTTCTAAAGTTCTCGAAAGACAGAATTTTCAACCGACAAGATAGAGGCAAAAGTTTATGTAATAAAAGTGTAAATTTATTTTTAAATGGAAGAATATTTTGTTTTATCACATTATTATAGTTTTGTATACTTCCTCTCCCCCATATGTATGTTTCAAACTGCCTGATGATATTTAGACTGTTGAATTAAAAATTTTGGGAAATAAAGAGTAATGTGGTTTTAACGTTAAAAATATCTTAAGGTTAGTTTTTTATTTTTAGCTTACCAAATTGCCAATTTTTACGAATACTGGTATTTCATGTGTCATAAAATCTTTAATTTATCTTTTAAATCAAAACTTTATATCGCTTAAACAATAGAGCAATTTAAAAGCATTAAGTATTTTGTAGCAATGTATATTGCATTTAAAATTTTTCTAATTGATATTATTTGTAATACATTTAATTTAGGTGATTTATAACATACCAATCTAATAATTTTTATAAACATTTGCATTATTATTTGTAATCAATGAAAGTTGTTGTGATGTTATGTGATATATATATATCTTAGCACAGAATAATCATTTGCATGGTATATAGCAGGAAAGGCCAAACTTCAAGATGATAGAAGCCACATGGTAGATTTTATGAATGTTCGAGAGCCGCAAATCCAAATTAATCATTTGCATGGTATATAGTAGGAATGGCCAAACTTCAAGATGATGGAAGCCGCATAGTATATAGTAGGAATGGCCAAACTTCAAGATGATGGAAGCCGCATGGTAGATTTTATGAATGTTCGAGAGCCGCAAGTCCAAATTTATATTGTTTCAAGAATAATGAAACAGGTTTTGAATGTAAAGAAACTTTTGAAGTAAATTAATGAATATGTTATTAACATGATTACATATAAATATGAATAGAAACATCTTATATCTACTGTTTTGTGTTTAGAAAAGTTAAGTTCCTAGAAAATAAATTGTAATGCTTGTATCGAGCAACTGAGCATTTTCTGCACAGGTAGAGAAAGCAAATATTTTCTTAGGATTTTCTTTATACTTTGTCGTTTATAATTACTGTTGTTTTATTTTAGTAGGAGTAAAATGCATCAGAAGCATATTCATTGGTCTACAATTATATAAAAAATTTTATTTGAGTAAATTACAAATCATTATTTAAAAGAATATATATATATATATATATATATATATTTTAACTCATGGGCAGTACAAGCGTTACTTTTAGAACGAGTAAATTAAGTGTTACACATCAATGTGCACTGCAGAGAAACTGTTCTTCAAGAAAAAATATTTATTTAAAAATAAGCTTATTAACTTTTCTAGGCTTTTGCTTAAAAAGTAATTTTATTTCTTCACACAATGAACATAAGACCAACATACTGAGATCATTCGAATCTTTGGATCCTAATCTAAGGAAGCGTTAAAATTTTTTTCTGAAAACTTTGTAATAACTACTTTTACTGATGCCCAGTATAAAAGAATCCCCCCGCCCCAAAAAAGAAAAGAATACGATTGCAGTTTCAGGGGTATTTACATAATCAGTATCTCTCATGAAAGCCGTGACTGATACACTATTTCAGCGTAGCATCCAATGGAATTTGCCAGAAGTTTTTAGTAATCAGCACACTGTGCATTATTGAAAATTCTCTAAACTATCTACAAAATCATCCTGATAATTTTTGACATAGATAACGAAGTTCGTGCACATCATTAAAAATTCTTGAAATTATCGCTCACATTGTCCTGATAAATTCGGACATAGATAACTAAGTTCATGCTCATCATTGAAAATTCTCAAAACCACCTCTTGAATAGTTATAATAATTTCGGACATACAATCCTATTGCTAATAAATCTACTAATTCATGCCTACTATATAAACAGAGAGATATTCCATATGTCTATCAGCCAAACTCTTCAACCTAACTGTTTAATTTTTAGCTGTTTTTCAAATGCATAACAAATCAAAAATAATGTTACAGAAAGAAAACATACCTGTCGCTATTATAATGAAATTATTTCACAAATGCAAATGTAATAACCTGAACATGTAACTCTTCATATTTCTGTGGACATGCGCAGATGTTAGATGTGGAGGCCTTCTGCAGCGCGGCAGAATTTAAATCATTGTAACCAGTGATTCGTCCCACGAAGTATTTGAGCATGCACATTTTGGCGAAATAAATTATGATCTCTGCCTAAGATTACCAAGAAATTATTACAAAAAATAGAGTTTAATGTGGGAAAAGTGTTACTTAAGCATATTATTGTGAATGGTTGTGAAATCTGTGAAGCAATTGCATAAAAATGCTTGACTTGCTTAGAAATAGGAAATTAATTTTGAAAGAGTTCCGCAGAAAATTGAGACAACCAAGTAAGAGGTCCTAACAAGTGAGTGGCTGAAGGTTCACTCCAAAAATAAAATCCTCATAAAATTCTTCTACCAATTAAAAGAGTTCTGTATGGATTGCAAGACAAAACAGGTTTCTTCAGCAGTCGCTTGCTCCATTCAAGGACTGAATAAAAGTAGTACCCTACAACAAATAGCAAATCTTCCAGGTGAATCACAACTGTTGTGAACGATGGGATCACAAGAATGTAAGAAGAATTAACTTGAGAGAAAAAAAATATTAGGGAGAATAATTAAATAAATATATTAGCATTGTGTTTCAGATTAACTTCATATTAGTGTATTCCGATGACCATCACCTATTCAAAATGTAAGAAAAAATGGAATAGTAGTTATTACCAGAAATGTAATTATTTATAATTTTATGTATTTGTTGCTCTAATGATAAGCCAGCAGTCAACAGTTTGAAATCTATCAAATTTTTACATACATAATATCAGAAATTAGTGATTAATAAAGAAATGTGGCACTACATGAATTTTATTTCAAATTCCATTTGTATTAAAAAAAATAAACTATATTTATTCAAAACTAGTTGCGTTTCAGATGACAAAGGATCACAAATAGCTCGCGAGCCGCAGTTTGGCCATGCCTGGTATTTAGCAACAGGTTTTTAATTTTTAAGTATTAATAAATGTAAGTTCTTGTATAACTAAATTAATATTATTTAAACTTTTATTTCTGAAGTATATCTTTTTGGAACAGGTGCAGTAAATTTTATATCATCTCCACAAGGAAAAGAAATAGATGTTGATGTATCACTTGTTACTGGTAAAACCCGTTCTCTAGGATTAAGTGATGATGCCAATATTCAGCCAACTACAGCACCAATTCTTGCCACTAGAGATGAGATGAAATTATCAACTATTCATTCTCAAGCAGCAGGTAAAGGTGTTTAATTAATTGTTTGCATTTCAAACACATGGAATTTATTCTTAAAAATCTACATATTTTAATCAAATTACTGAAGTTTCTGTATTTAATTCTTTGTGGCAAAACTTTTAATGCATTTGGCAGTACGTGAATAAGTTTCAGTTATAGATGTAGCAATATACTAAATGCATAAAATTCACTGCAAACTTGCCTTTGGATCATCATACAAATTTGGTAAGATGTATTAAGTATCTAGTTAGCAATTAACAGTTCTTCATTTTGCCTAGCTGATGAAGCTCTTGTTTCAAACTGCAGCCGATATTCACCCAAAATAAAAGTTAAAATGATTTATTTCTTAATATTCTAATAAAGTAATTACTATTTATGTATTGTTCCTTGTTTTTATTTGATGATCATTCCTGTAAATCAAAGGTTCCCAAACTTTTTTTTTTTTTTTTTTTTTTTTTTTTTTTTTTTTTTTTTTTGTCCCATAAACCAGATATTGAATTTTTCTGTTTTCGTAGACCTCTTCCTAAGCATTATTCTAAAACCAGTGAGGCTGTTTAATATTTATACTTGAGCATTCCAAAATAGAGTAAAATCCCAAAACTAAAGTTTCACTCAAGATATTCAGAAAAACTCAGGTGAAAGCAAAATGTATGGAAATGTTGTGTGACAAGTGCAGAATATACCCAACAATGACAGCTCTCATGTGAAATTTTACACTAGCTGAGTGCTTTTGAAATGCTACCCTAATACTGAATTTAAAAAAATTCGTCAACTTTAAAAGTGTTTTTACAGCTGACACAAAGCTACTCACTTTGATAGGGCTTATTGTAGAGTGGGAATTTTTTAATTAAAAAAAAAATTGTGAAGTTTTTATTCTTGTACTTGAATGCTTATTCATGTACATGAATTAGAATACTTATTCAGTAATCAAAATGGCACAGAGCAAACTAATTACATAAAATTAGTATACACAAAAAAAAAAAAAAAAAAAAAAATTAAGTGAATTTAAATGAGAGGAATGAACCTAATACTTTGATAGAAGATTTTTTATGTTTGGATTCAAATTAGTCAGGCTTAACCTTAAATCTCCTTGGCCACTGATTTCCAGTCTCTCTCTCTCCTTTTTTTTTTTTTTTTTTTTCGGTAAGAAGAGTGGCAATTGCACGGAAACCCCTTTCCATAAGGTATGAATGTGTAAAAGCTATCAAAAACTGAATTTTGATAGTTCATAATGCAGGATAAGTAACAAGTATAGCTCTTTAAAGTCAAAATTGCTGATATCCTTTTTTTTAAACTGCATATTAAGTACTTCATTAGTGCTTTATCCACTCAGTTCTTATAATATGACATCTGATTCTTCAATGTCACTGTATGGATTGATTTCACTGTGTTCCATAGTCAAAGCATCCTCAAACCCGGTTTTAAAGTCTGCGTGGAGAGCATTTAAATGTTGAATGCAAGCCAAAACATCATCACTCTGACAGTTTGTCTGTAACAAATTGGGAAAATTGGAAAATTTCTGCTGTCCAGTGCTTTCATCAAGCTTTTGCTTCATTAGATTAATTCTGGCAATAAAAGCTGTAATAATGAACTTAGTTTTTATCAAATTTAGATTGCAACCTTGTAACTGCAATTTAACCTCATTAAATTTAATAAACTAATCTGTTAAATAAGTAATGTTTGCTTTCCATTTGATTAAAGTTTCTTTTAATATGGGATTCTCAACATCCCAAAATTGTAAAACAGTCTTTAAAAAAAAATTTAAAAAAAAAAAAAAAATCTTGCCAAGCATAAGCTTGCATACTTTAGTATTAAGGAGTAACTGATGGCTTTTTGTCATCTTTTTTCTCTTCACATAGCTGTGCAAATAACCTAGAATAAATTGCATTGCTCAGAATTATATTTAATGCCTTTAGAGTGAATTGAAGCGATTGATGCAATCTGCCAGTTAGATTTTTAGTAACTAAATGTCGTTGATGGAAGGCACTATGATTTGCAAAATGCCGGGTACATTTTGTTTTAAATAGCTGAAAAAAACCATGATGGCTCCCAAACATGGCAGCTGCTCCATCAGCTATTACTGCTGCTATTTGATAAAGCAGGGTGTCTGAAACTGTGGGTCGCGACCCCCTTGAGGGTTGCGGGACCTGCAGCAGGGGGGTCACCAAAAACTTTAGCAGTTTTTATAATAATTTTACAATTACCAAATATTTTTACAGCATGTATCTGAAAATAGATAAAGATAAGACAATACAGACAAAGAAAAACAGAAACATTTTGGCACATTCTAATATAAACGTTCATTTTCCTTGCTTTGCACGTGACGCTGTCATCTCGTCTGTTAGTTATTTAAAATTTTCACATTGTTCTATGTCTTAAAATTAGAAATTAAATGACCTAAAACTGCAATAGTATATTACGGTACTAGTGAAAAAGTTGACAGTTTTTCTCACGCATGTGTCGGATTTGCGCAATACTTACGGGGTCTCACAACATTTTTGTAAATATTATAGGGTCCTGGGGGGGATCGCAAAAAAGTCTCAGTGATAAAAGGGGGTCGCAACTGGAAAAAGTTTAAGAAACTCTGTGATAATGGGATGGCTTTTTCCATGAAATAATCTCTAAAAACATTAGATCTTTTTCCTTTAGTGTTTCCTTTAGTTTCTGAGTGGTTTTTTCATGGATTTCTTGGTCCATAATATAATAAATATATGCCAATAATAGTGCTTCATTACCAGGTAAAGTTTACTCATCCATTTGTATGGATAAATGTGTAATTTGCTGATAATTACACAGAAGCTTACAACATAATCATTTATTTCATCAATACATCTTTGAACTATGTTGTAAATCCAAGGAATTCCTTTGCGTATAGGTTTGTATAGAATAGTTTTTAAATACCTTTTCAATGGCTACCAAAATTAGCTGTCCTCCAATAGTATGCAACTTTCCTGATTTTGCTATTAAGTAATGAGATATTGTAAGATGCATGCAAACCATCATCATCTCTTTTTAACATCTAAGCAAGTATACTATCCACTGTGAGTCTCAAGTTTTTCTTTCAGTGTTTGAAAGTATTTTAAATCTGTGTTTTATCAGAGTGGCACCTTCTTCATATGATTCTCCATCTTGGTCTAAAAAATTTACCTTATACAAAAGTGTTTAAACAAACTTGCACAAAAAATTATACAACTTATACAAAAAATTAAAAATCTCACCTTATGTCCAGCACAAAATGTCTTAATTTGTTCAAAAGGAAATGGAACTACTTGATTATCTGAAATTTTGTTGAGCTGATTATAATGCAAAATATTGCATTAGTTTTTAAAGAAGGGTACTTCATTCACCACAAAACATAAACAATTCACAGAACTACCTTTGTTGTCATATTTAGACATGTCCATTTTAAATTTTAGAAATTACACAGGAATGTAAACATAGTCTGTATCTTTCTGCAATCAGAGGAACTACAAACAGAGTATTTTCTAAAAGAATAGATAAATAAATTTACTTACTTTTCTCAAAGTTCAAAGAAGATGACTTTGAATCACTTTATCTTGTATGTATCCAATTACCTGTTTATATTTTTAAAAATATTTGCTTCCTTTTTATCTTCTCAAAATTCAGAAAGCAAATGCAGTATATGTCTCTAATACTCATATTGTAATTGCAAGTGGACAAGTCTGTGCTGCCTTTGCAAATCTCTTGTATATGTCTGGACAAGCGTTGCGACTGCACGTATGGGCATTATGCATTGCCCCTGGTATCAAATGTGCAAGTTTTTACTAGTTACAAGGACTGTGATCTAAAGTGAATAGATACTTAATACAAATTTATGAAATATACCTAATTAACATGTGCCTATTTATGTAAGTACATGGGTACAATCTGTGTTAGGTGCATTATGGCACTTAAAAAACATGTAAATTTTGTTGAGAACCTGCTTAAATGGGATGCAGACTTGTGGACCTCTATTTACATCTTATGTACTCCTATTTTTTTTTTTTTTTCATTTATATGAATCCCTTACAGGTTGGAATAGACCTCTAATGGTTCAATAAAGTCCACTTTGGGAATCTATGTATGCTGTAAATAAACTCTGTTCTCATAGAACCGACACACTTGTGCCTTTTGGGACAAAATATTTATTTGCAAAACTAAATGATTATATTCTTTGTTGTATATTGTCAGTTCTTGGCTGTTGTCAGCCAAAAACCGACATTAAAATAAGGGTAAACATTAGTTTCTTGCCTTATATATTATAAAGGTTCTTAATCTGCATCATTCTATGGTCTGAAAAACTATTGATCAAACAAATATTAAATCCTTTGAATCGATAATAAGTTTTACAAGTTACAGAAATTATACGAGTCTTTTGATGAGTATTCCACTTGAAAGTCTCTGTGAAAATTTATACTTTTCTTTTGCATCCAAGGGGAGTTTCCTCTATAAAATTCAATGCATCAGTCTCGGCATTTTATTTTTGTGCATTGATATGACCAATTTATATGGATTCCAATATCTTTATTAATCTACAGTAATTGATGTGCTGATCAAAGATCCAGAAAATATGCTTATGTTGCATTGCTGAAAATTGGGGGCTTTAAACTTTTATACTGGCTTTTAACTTTTCCTTAACTACCTTGGTGCCGGACAAAACACTCAAAATAAAAATCATAACAAGAACAATCATATGCGTTAGTACAATAGGGCACGTTGTGAAGCCCACTAGGGAAAAACAATAACACCAAATTCAATAAAGCTCCATGTTTCTTAAGAAGCCTCCCGGGTCAAACAAATGGAGTGACATGACAGACCCCCCCCTCAAATAAAAATACACAAGATAAATACACAAATGCAATTAAATTTTAAACATACATATTTATTGATTTCTAGAATAATATAACATAAGTTAACTGGGTAAACTGATCAATTCCCTACCATAATAATACTATGCAAAATAACACAGAATATCACACCATATTACAGCTTACGTTAATTAA